GTTGTAATGAAGCATTTCTTGGATGGATAACTGTACCTGGCCTTTTATATAAATGGTACCTAAATGCAACTGTTGGATTATGAGATTCTATAACAAATACAATGTCTGGTGTTGCATATTTGTATAAAATTATTCCATAGCAAAATATTGCAAATGGTTTTTACTTTACAAACAATGTTAGCATATTCGCCTTAATTTTTTATTATTTTTTGTTATGTTTTTATTTCCATTAAGGAATAAAACAGTTGATAAATGAAGATCTATTTTTTAATTCATTTTATAGATGGCATATACCGAGGAAAAGTTAAAAGGTATAACCTATTAAAATTGAAGGAACTCGAAAAATACCGCCTGTCCGAGCTTCGTTTTTTTTTAGAATAAAACTTCAAACTTCAACCCGCTGAAAAATTTTACAATATTTTTGTTTCTATTCCATGCAGAAGCTTGATTTTAAGCTGAGGTAGCTCGATAAAACAAAAATAAGTTGTGCTATTTTTACCTTTCGGAAAAAGCAAAAAATCCCGAAAAAAAATAATTAGTTAAATTTTTCCACAAAAATTTAATTATCCTATTACTTCGTAAGAAATATTTATATTTCATTGATTAATGTATCTTATTTACATTAATGTATAATAAGTATTACTAATTCTTTTTGTAAAGTACAAAAAGATAAATTTCAAAAATTCTTTTAAATTCAGAGTGTGTAAAAATGTCTTAAAAAATAAGCCGTTTCTCATTTTAATTTAAATAAACCCATTTGGGGTATTAATATTATACGTAAATAATACATTAAGTATGATACATTACAATAAAATACATAATACATTAATTATTAAATAATACATTAATAAATAAGTAAATAATACATTGATTATTAAAATTAAAATATTTCTTACGAAATAATGGTGAAATTGAATCTTTTTTATGGAAAAAATTATTTATTTATTTTTTCTGGATATTCCCAGTTTTCAGAGAGCTAAAAGTAGCTCAGATCTTTTTACTTTCTCGAGCTACCCCATTTAAAAAATGAATGATTTGCGTGATATTGAAGCTGAGATTGCAAATTTTTCCAGCGCGCTTTGATTTAAAGTTCCATTGTAGAAAAAAATGGGATCTCGGAATGCTCTTCTCACTTTACAAGCACGATCACTTATAAATTTTTGCATCTTCTTTGTATAGGCCATCTATAAAATCGATATCTTCATTTATAATCTGTTTAATTTGCACAATCAATAGAAATATGATTTAAAAAAATGCTATATTGGTTCTTATTGGACGTAGAAAGTTCTTTTAAAAAAATGTGTTTTTCCTTCAATTTTTTAGCTAGCCCACTTACAAGTACCTGCGTGCCATAAAACATATCAAAGTTATTATAAATGTTTATAAGTTAAAAAGTCACCCCCTTTTTAAACGGTATTTTAATATATCTTTAAACTTAAGCCTCAAATAATCAATTGCGATAAGCTAAATAGCTCTAGAGTCACTTTTTGGGCAAGGGCAATTGATAAAATAATCGCTCTCCACGATAAACAACTTAAATAACTTAAATGAAAAATTAGTTCGACGCACATCATCTCTTCATAGACATTGAAAGCGCATATGACAATGAATTTAATATACCAATCCAACTAATAGAACTGATAAAAGAATTTCTAAAAGTAGAAAGTAAAATCCGGATAAAAATGAATTAACAGAAACAATAGAGGTGAAAAAGGGACTATGCCAGGGAAACGCTCATGCATCTTGTTCAACATCGTACTCGAGAAAATACTGAGGGACACAACAGTCAAAACTCGAGGAACAATCATTAACAAAAGTGTGCAAATACTAGCATTTGCAGATGATGTTGACATGATCGCAAGATCAAGAAGAGAAATGATAGAGGCATACAAGAAAATAGAACTAGCTGCACAAAATAGTGGTCTTAAAATCAATAAGACCAAAACACAATATATGTAGGTAAGTAAAAACGGAGAAATAAGGCAACCACAAAATATAACAATTGGAGAATACAACATTGAGTGGGTAAAAAACTTTATATACCTAGGATCCCTAGTCACGTCTGATAATACCGTTGCGAAAGAAGTGATGAGGAGAATATTTATTGTCAATAAATATTACCATGGCTTAATTAGGCAACTAAGATTAGATAACGTAGCAAGAAAAACAAAATGCCAAATATATAAAACCTTAATAAGACCGGTACTCACATACGGCTCAGAAACCTGGACACTCACTAAAAGATACGAAACGTTGTTAGCCACCTTCAAAAGCAAAATCTTGTGACTCATATATAAAGGCACAAAAAAAACGAAATATGGCGAAGAAGATACAACTTTGAACTATACAAAATATATCAGGATCCGGATATTATAACATTCATTAAAATAGGACGGCTGCATTGGATAGGACATAGATATTGGATAGGACGTAGAATGAATGGAAGAAGGCGAAATACCAAACAAAATATTAAAACAGATACCAGTAGGAAAAAGAACAAGAAGACCGAAGCTGAGATACTTAGAACAAATATAAAATGATATAACCACCTTAAAAATAAAAAACTGGAGAAAAAAAGCACGAAACAGATCAGAATGGAGAAGAAGCTTGGAACAGACCAAGACCCAAAAGGGTTGTCGAGCCAGTAATGATGATGAAAAAATGAGTTAGTTGATCCGACTAAAGTCTAGCCTAAAATTAATAAATAACTCATTTATTGCCACAATTTTAAGTAGTTATGTTACATGTCATTATGTTCAAAAAACAAAGCTATGATCATTTATAAATTATTGTTCTAAAGCTATTTTCTTGTCGCATTTAAAATTAATAACTATTTAACTGGGAATACGCCACAATTAAAGGTTAAAATACGTTTATTGACGTTTTAATTTTTACTTCGGAAATGGCTCTCAAAATACAAACAGTAAATTAAATAAAACAATTTACTGTTTGTATTTTGAGAACGAGTTCCGAAGTGAAAATTGAGACGTCAATAAACGTATTTTAACCTTTAATTGTGGCTTATTCCCAGTTAAATAGTAATTAATTTATAAATTACTGCAAAAATTAGAGTTTTTTGTAATTATATCAGTCAATTCTTTATGTATTTGAATTTAGAACCGCAAATTAAGATCTACAAATTTTATTTGAAGCATTTTATCTAAAATGTATAAAAACATTTTGTATTCAAAAATTAATTAATTTTTATTTTAAAATTGTTTAAATTTTATATTCACTATTTAAAAAAAAAAACAAAGCAAAACCAGCTGTACGTCTTCACGAATTTGTCAAAATCTCTCAAAATACAAACAGTAAATTAAATAAAACAATTTACTGTTTGTATTTTGAGAACGATTTCCGAAGTGAAAATTGAAACGTCAATAAACGTATTTTAACCTTTAATTGTGGCTTATTCCCAGTTAAATAGTAATTAATTTAGGAATTACTGCAAAAATTAGAGTTTTTTGTAATTATGTCAGTCAATTCTTCATGTATTTGAATTTAGAACCGCAAATTAAGATCTACAAATTTTATTTGAAGCATTTTATCTAAAATGTATAAAAAAACATGTTGTATTCAAAAATTAATTAATTTTTATGTTAAAATTGTTTAAATTTTATATTCACTATTTAAAAAAAAAACAAAGCAAAACCAGCTGTACGTCTTCACGAATTTGTCAAAATCTCTCAAAATACAAACAGTAAATTAAATAAAACAATTTACTGTTTGTATTTTGAGAACGATTTTCGAAGTGGAAATTGAAACGTCAATAAACGTATTTTAACCTTTAATTGTGGCTTATTCCCAGTTAAATAGTAATTAATTTAGGAATTACTGCAAAAATTAGAGTTTTTTGTAATTATGTCAGTCAATTCTTCATGTATTTGAATTTAGAACCGCAAATTAAGATCTACAAATTTTATTTGAAGCATTTTATCTAAAATGTATAAAAAAACATGTTGTATTCAAAAATTAATTAATTTTTATGTTAAAATTGTTTAAATTTTATATTCACTATTTAAAAAAAAAAAACAAAGCAAAACCAGCTGTACGTCTTCACGAATTTGTCATAAGCTACCTCTCATATACTTTCGTAAAGTTTCAAATAGCTGTATAAGATTTTTACGTGATAAAGCAATCTTTTACCTGGCACGAGTAAAAAAAGACCGCTCAAAAGGACAAAATAACTCTAGTTGATTTGTATTATTATACCAGAACATAGTGAGATATATTGCTGTATGTGAAACTGATAAGCAATAATTATCAAAGATAATAAGAAGAAACCATAAGATTGGATGTTAGTTTTAGGAAATCGTCCATAAATGAAACTCTAGATAAATTACTTAACGGTTAGCCGATCAAATTGCAATTTAATGTTTTTTTTTAATAAAAAGTAATTAACTGGATTATTCTTCAATAAAGTGGTCCCACCAAAAGAACCCACCAAATTATTGATTCAATTTTTAAAATCTTTAAGTAGTATATAATAAATCTAAAAAATTAAGACGAAGGAAGACTAAACTAAATTACTAAAAAAAATTTACCTTTATGAAACAAACCAAAATAATTTTTGCAATTTTATATTTTGATATTTTCAATTTTCTTTTCTTTTTTTTTTAATTATATTTGAAGTATATTAAAAAATATATGTAATAATCAAAACCTTAAATGCCACCTAAATCAATACTAAATTACTTATTTTATTTATTTATTTTTTTAACAAAAATATAGAGATCTCAAAACCAAAATATAAGTAATTGTTGATGTAGAAAAAAGGTTTTTAATCTATAAAATTCGCGCCTAATTTTAATATCTAAGGTCCATTACTTGTAACAAATAAAAAACTAAATAGACAATTAATTCGGCTAAAATATATTTCAAGAACTGTTCTATTTGTGGGCCTACATCGATCAATACTTATCCGCGAAATACACAAAGCATACAAAATTTCCGCCACTTATTTGTAACAACACTTCATTCACTTTCACAGCACAACTTACAATGAAAATTTGCATGGCTGATGTTTTTCTGAAATTACTGTTAGTTTCGAAGGACTTTTGTCGTAGACTGTATTATTACAGAATTGCCATCACATTATATAGGAGCCATTGTGTGAAAGGACCCCCTTGAGTTATCAAAATCCCACTTTAATTCTTACCGTACGCTTCCCCTTTTCAGTTGGTACTTTCCCTTGATCTTGAGGTGGCGCTAATCAGGTCTCCTCGTTACTGATTCGATTATTTTTAGTTGGATTGTTACATATTGAATAAAATTCAAAAGGTGAGTGTGTTTTATTATTCGTTGAGGAAAACTATTTCTTTAATTTTTGTTCCACGAATATGAAGTTAACAAAAAATGATGTAGAAAGTGACAAAACCTAATTTTTCTCTATTTTAATGATAGAAAATAGAGAAAAACGTTGTATAAAAACTTTTTCAGGCTTTGACAAATAGATTATTAGTATTTATAAAAAAAAATGAGGATATTGGTGCAAGAACAGTTCAGGTGTAGTTTATATAGTTTTATGAAAAACGTACTATGCCAAAAATCTAATATTTATGGTTAATATTGGTTAATGGTTAATTTTATAATTTATATGGTAACGTAAGAACAACAACGAATTAACATTAACTGTATACCTTTATTAATTTTTGTCTCTTTTTAGTAATAAATTTATTTTTGGAAAATCCACACGATCTGTTATTCCAACCAAAATGCATTCAAATTGTATATATAATACAGCGCCACAGGTCTTGTAGTCCCTGCCTTATAAAAACTTAGATATTTCCCACTATTTTTTGGGTCAATTGCTTTATGTCTCCAATCTCTCACGCCTATCTTTGACAAGTCCTGCTTTACTGCTTCCAACCATTTCTTCGTTGGACATCCTGTTCTTTTTTCTCCAGTTATCCTTCCTTGAGTATTGTTTAAACATTCAGGTTTTCCGGCATTCTTATAATGTCACCAAGGCATCTAGCTCTTCGGGCTCGTATTTTTGCAATAATTATTGGTTAAAAATACACCCTCATTATTTCTTTATTTATTCGTCTTTTCCAAATTTTGTCTGGCAACTATATTCCTCCGAAGATTTTTTTAGCAGCTTTTCTTTCCAGATCTCTACTTTTATTTTTTTGAATTATTTATAATCCACGCTTTGTTGGAATATATCCCTCCCTGAAATAAATATATATATATATATATATATATATATATATATATATATATATATATATATATATATATATATATATATATATATACATATATATATAAGCGAGGTTCCTACAGCCACTGCCGTTTCTCGCATTTCGACCGCCATCGTTTTCTGTCCATCCATTCGTCTTCTCTGATGGCTCTATCTCTCTATAAGTTAGATAAAAAGAAATAAAGTAAAAAGTAAAGTAAAGTAAAGTATAAGTAAGAAATAAAAAAATACTAAATAAAAAACAAATGTTAAAGATGCGAAAAGTAGATACATGTACTATCGGAAATAAGTCAATCTTCGAAAAAGATTTCCCCCATCGTTGCCTGTCAGAATTCAATGGATACCTTCTTATTCTCTCACTGGAATCTGGCAATACGGCAATTAAAAAAAAACGATAGAAACTTTTTTATTTTTGACAGATAAAAACAATGACCTCGACGATTAGGTTGTGTATTTGGAGCTGGAACAATTTCTTCTTCAATACGCCAAATTCCTTTTATGCTTGACTTAATTGATAGAGGAATAGGCTTATTAAAAAATTGGTGGTGCAGATAAATATCTCTGGCGATGAACCGTTTGTCCTAAAGAAATCTTCTGCATTTCTGTGGTTATTTTTGGTTACTTCAGCTATATATACAAGACCCAATAGTGCCCTGAGTTCTAAAATATCTTTTTTTTTCAGATTTTTAACTGAGATTGTAAGAACAGAGTTCAATAAAGATATTCGTGTTGTCTTTAATGGTTTGCAAAATCCCTTCAGTAAAAAAACTCCAAATCTTTAATGTGCTTTTCATTTGTCGTACTTCCCTAGTTATTCCAGAAATTTTTTACTTTATTAAATTGTCACTGCGAGTTAGTATCGTCCCTAATTTCTTCTTTCATGTCGGTGTCGTGGTCTTATATCTCTTCGAAATCTACTTTCAAACTAGCGTCATCGTCAGATTCAACTTCTAGCTAAGAATCAGAGAGAAATTCCGCATTAACTTTTCAAGATACGCTTGTTGCTAAAAAATAAGTTTATAACAATGAAATACATAGAAAACATAATCAGTAGATCACTTCTAAGTATAAATTACATAAATATTTTTTATTTACCCCAGAAATTAAATATTTTAAAATTGAATCTTACCCGAAGATTGGTGACAACTTGTATAACGTACCGGCTCATGTTCCGCAATTCAATATAGCGGCAGAACTAAATTAACTAGACAACTCTCACAACTATACTGAATAGAATATTCCCTCGCTTGAAGCTAGTGAGCACGCCACGACCAAAATCATAATTGAAGACCCTAGAAGTAAAGGGGTATAAGTGACATTTTTGTAAATATTGAGTAAACTGCATCGCTGAACTGGAAATCTTTCATTGTATTTGGAGGTAAAGAGATTTAAGTGATAAGTCTAACAGGTTCTGCTTTCTATCGACAAGTTACTTAGCCTTTAAGCCAACTATGAGTAGGGCTTGGAAGAGAAGTGATAAAAGTGCACTTGTACCTCTGTTCCACTGTGTCAGACTGTTAGTTGAGTTTGTTATCATTTCGGATGGGTAGTGGTATAGCTCCAAATAATACTTAAATGTAAATTGCTGCGTTTTACATTATTATAAACTACAGTGTTTATAAGAAAAGTTCGTTTTGTTTCTTTGCGGAATACGGAGCCAGTGATAGACGATTTACCTGCTAATGTATTTTCACCACCAAAGCGAACTAGTAAGAAAAGGATTCGGTCAATTCGGTCAGATAAGTGGAAAAAACAGGGTTAAAATAGCAAAAAATTCAAGTAAAGCTTACATCAACAAAAAACACAATTCTCATGAAGCTTAAAAGTTAGGAGAACTTGAAAATCATCATTGTTGGAATAAATCTACCAATATTATTTCAAAAGAACAAAGACTTTCAATTTTTAAAGAGTATTGGGCACTGGAATCTCCTTAAAAGCTTTTGTTACTCGATCCATACAAACTAAGCCTATAAAAAGAAAGAAAATAAATGCAGTTAGCAACAAAGAGGTGCCATGTGTTTATAATCTGGAAAGTTTTATAGTATGTAATTAGTTTATAATGAAAACTTTTGATGTCTCCAACAAACGTTTACAGAATGTAGTTAAAAGCAAAAAAAGTCTCCTTAAGCGTGTCATGAATAGACGGAAGAGGAAAAAAAATACCCTTAAACAAAATTTCTGAAATGGTAATTGAAATCATAAAAGAACATTAAGTTTTCTAGATACACAAACAGCTACACTAGAAATAAGACTCCAAAAAGCAGGTATCTTCCTCAGGAGTGTAATTTGAAAATAATGTACAAACTTTATTGTAATTTATGTAAGTAGAAAAATCAGGAAGGATCTGTAAGTAAAAGTTTTTAAAGGAATATTTTTATTAGTTAGTTCAAGCTTAGTTTCAAAAGGCCAAATACAGACATTTGTTGTATTTGGCCTTTTTAAACAGAACAAATCTTCCAGTTGCGTAAGGCGTAAGCCTTAAAAACAACAAAAGACGAGTGTCACCACCTAAAGGATGCTAGAAAAGTTGCGAACCATCTTTGACTTGCTAAAAGCCATACCAACTCGAAATGTGTCAACTTCTAAAGCATAATATTTAAGGCAACTATGAACGTATAACTTAGGGGTCCATAACTTACATATTGGAACGACCCATTTCTTTATCTGACACGAAGACCAGGCGTCACGTGGATATCAGAAAATATCATCTTGTCTCCTAAAATATATTAGAAGCCCTCCCTATCTGTAAAATACATAACTGCATTTAGCCACAACTGTGGAGTCCAAAATAAAAGTCATCTGACAGTCAAATTTCTTCTACAAATAGAAAGTTCTTTGCAGTACAGATAGAAAATGACGATATTTTAGATTTACTTACAACATACTATATTTAAACACCTCAATAAGATCGTAAGTGGAATACAGAACATGCTATAATTACGTTTTGGACAGAAAAAACCTTAACCCTGATTTACAATAAAAAAGCTGGAGATATCATAGAAGAGTTTAGGGAGCTATCTATAAAACCCATTCGAGCTGGCAAAAACTCTGCGCTTCTGCCAGATCTCTTGTTATCTTACCAGATCTCTTGGCAGTACCGATTGACAAAACGCCACTCATTAAGCAAGCTAAATATTCAAATTTTTAACAGTTACTGAACTACTTACCTCCAATTTACCAGTGGTTGATAAATCTGCAACCTAATGGTCAATAACGACAGTTATGTCGATGAATCATAAGTTTACTGCGTATTACTGTTATGGTGAAAAAAAATTTATACAAAAACTTTATAATATTTTTACACTTTTTATCTTTATGTTGCATTTCTTAGAAGTAAAAGGGTACCAGTCCTAGTTAGCAGCATAAAAATAGCTTCAAAATGAGTAAAGTCAATACAGTTATGATTTGTTTTTGTCAATAATAATAATAAAGCCTACAGTTACTAATCCGGAGAAGAAAAACTAGCATTAAAAAATCATGACGCTTACAGTGAAGGCTCAACTGAATTTATTTCATTTACTCAAAATTTACTTTTTGTCACTTATACCTCTTTACTTTTAGAGTCCTCAATTAATCGTTAGATATCGACAAAAAACTGGACAAGCGGACTCATAGTTCGAGGAGAGAGTAGGACTCATTCTACTACTACTTTGAGCAACATACAATGAGTTTTAGTTAAAAATAAAAACAATTTATCTGATATATCAGATATTAGGGGGCCGTTTAAATTCTACAAGTAATATTTGTTTTATCTATCAGGACATTAACGTTCCGTTACCGTTCTTCATTTTTTATGCAAAGATGCAAAGTGAAAACTGTAAAAAAACAACCTGGATGTTACGGTTCATGTGTTTTAAATGCGACAG